GATATGCACATCTGCTGCTCTTTAAAGTGGTAAAAGCAAAGTTGTCACTTTTACCATGCCTGACCCAAGGCATGGTATTTCCAGTCGTCTCATATGTGTGTGAAAGGTAGACACTGAATAAGGAAGACCGAAGAAATTGATGCTTTTAAATTATAATGTTGGCAAAGATATTTAATATATCATTAGTTACCAAAAGAACAATCAAATTTGCCTTGGAAGAAACATAGCCAGAAAGTTCCTCACAAAAGAAGATGGCAAAACCTTTGTCTCGTGTACTTTGAACATGTCATCAGTAGGGACCACTCCCTGGTAAAGGAGATGAATGTGATAAAATAGAAGGTCTGCTACAAGAGGAAGATACCCAATGAGATGGATTTGGCACAGTGGCAGCAACAAAGGGCTCAAACATGGCAGCAAGTGTGAGGATGACTCAGGACCAGGCAGTGCTTCATTCTGTTATACAAAGGGTCACTTTGAGTAGGAACCAACTCAGCAACACCTTACAACAAGAAGGATTTGGGTTTTGCTTGGGGTGGCAGGAAGCTGTTAGGGAGTATGAGCAGACTTATGTTACGAGCTTATGTTAAACAGACCACTGTGGCTACTGTGTCAGGAAAAGAGCAACAAAGCAAGGATGGAATCAAGAAAACTTTTTCAGAGACTGTTGTAGTAATTATAAGACTAGTGAAGGCTTCTGCTTAGGTAGTCGCAGTGGAAGTGTTACGGAGCATTTGAATTCTAGATACATTTTTTAAGTAGAACTGAAAGGGTTTCTTTAAACATTATTCGTTGTCTGTTAAAAAAGTGCCTGGGGCCCCTCAAAGATTTTGGTCTTAGTAACTGGAAAGATGGAGTTGCCATCAGCTGAGATAGGTAATGCTGCAATAGAACAACATTTTGCATGGGAAGATTAGGAGTTCAGGGTTTGATATGGCAAATTTGAGGTATCTGTTATACATTTAAGAAGGCCTGGTTGCACAGTGGTTAAGCACTCATCTGCTAACCAGAATGTTGGTGGTTCAAACTCATGAGCCGCTCCACAGAAGAAATAATGTAGCTTTCTGCTTTCATTAAGATTTATAGCCTAAGAAACCCTATGAGGCAGTTCTACCCTGTCCTATAAGGGTCACTATGAGTTGAAATTCCACTCAGTGGCAATGGGTTTGGTTTGGGATTTGGTTACACATTTAAATGGAGTCATGAAGTAGGTAATTGAATATATGGCATTTGGAATAAGTAAGTGAGACTAAAGATTTAAATGTGAGAGTTGTCACTGTATGTACAACTTGAGTGTAAAGTCATGAGACTAAGTGATATCACCCAGCTAGTGAATGTAGATAAAAAGGGAAACAGTCCACGGACTAAGCCCTTAGTACGCTGCAACATCACAAGGTTGGAAAGCAGAGGAAACTTCCGAAAAGGAGACTGTCTGGAGCAACCAGAGTGGTAGGGATCAGCTTGGGGGAATTGAGCGTCCTGGAAGGAAACACATACATACATACATATATATATATGTGTATATGTATATATACACATATATATATATGTGTTTCAAGGAGGGGAGGGTATGATCAGCTGGGTTACATGCCTCTCAGAGATAAGTAAGATGTTGTCATTGTTAAGTGCCATCTAGTTCGTTTTGACTCACGGAAACCCTGCATAGGGTTTCTGAGGAGCTGCTGGTAAGTTTGAATCATGGTTACTAGTCCAGTGCTTATCCTATAGCACCACACCAGGACTCCATATGAATAAGGTAAGACTGAGAATTGACCATTAAATTTATCAACATGAAGACCCAGACATTGAGAAAAGTAATGATTGAAATAAAGTGTAACTTGTAGTTGGTTCAGGAGAAAGTTTACACAGAGTCACTGTTATTATGGTTAATGTTTAAGAGGTAGCATATGATCAAGAGCCAGTGATACTGAAGGAAGAAATCCAAGGCGCATTGAAGAAATTGGCAAAAAAAATGGTGCCAGGAATTGATGGAATACAAATTGAAATCTTTCATAAAAAGTGAGACAGCACTGGAGTCACTCACTCATCTTCGCCAAGACATTTTGAAGACGGCTATCTGACCGACTGATTGGAAGATATCCATGTTCCAAAGAGAGGCCACCCAATGGAATGTGGAAATCATCAGACAATATCTTTGATATCCCATGTAAGTAAAGATTTACTAAAAATTTACTAAAGGTAATACAGAAACAACTGCAAGCACACATTGACAGAGAACTTCCAGAGGTTCAAACCGAATTCAGTAGAAGACGTGGAACGAGGACTATCATTGCTAATGTCCGATGGATCTTGGCTAAAAGCAGAGGATACTAGAAAGATGTTTACCTATGCTTTATTGACTTTGTAAAGGCTTTCGACGTGTGGATCATGACAAGCTATGAACAACCTTGCGAAGGATAAGTATTCCTGAACACTTAATTGTGCTCATGAGGAATCTGTA